CATTTTATAATCATTTTTCTGAATTCCTTCTCTGGCATTTCCAAAGCCTGGCATATTCAGGAGTTATCTGTGGCCTTAAAACTTAGATGGGTGTGCATTTTGTTATTTTTTATGCTTTCTGATTGCCTCCAGGTAGATGTGATCAGGAGATGGGCTTCCCTTTTCACTGTTCTTCCTGAGACATTTCAAGATGCCACTGTTCATCATTGTGATGTAACTCCGGATTTAATTTTTGGCCTATTTCTAGTCTGCCTGTCCTACTCCATGATCCCCGTTCAGGCCTTTTTCCTAGTGATAAACAGTTCAGGGCCGGCTCTGGCCATTTTGCACTGCCGTCTGGTTTTAACTGGGAACTGTCACTATAAATTTTGAGGATATCTGTGTGCATGTGTAGTAGAACCCTCTGGTGGTGGGGGTGGGGTGTCCACTTGCCCCAGCACCCCCTCTAGTCACCAGGATGGAGGTGCACAGACAGCAAGAGACCAATGAGCAGGTACAAAAAAAAAAAAAAAAAAAGAAAGTATGTCCACACCTTCGTCTTCGTGATTCTGTCAGGTGTCTGTGGCTGCTCTGATCCTTCCCCTGCTAGGTGTCTCCCAAGATGGTGGCTCCAGGAGCAGGTGAGCATCTTGAATTAGAAAGCAATGGATTTCTTGCTTCTGCTACAAATTTCCCTAGCTGTAAGCCTTCCAACCTTCTAAATATTCCTTTATAAGTGGTTCAGTGTTCTGGCACCATCCCCTGAACCTGCTTAGTTTGGTATCCTGTGTTGTTGCTGACGGAGCTCCTCACTGCACTGCTACCCTCTCTGTCATCTTGTTTGTTCTCCATGTTCTGATTATTAATGGATGTTTATAGTTGTTTCTCCTCATTGAGTTGTGCCCCATCAGCAAATGAAGGCCCTAAAAGCTTTACTCTATTCCTGTCATCATGGTCAACTCTACTCTGAGGAGGCAGCTCTTCTCCAGTTGTATTTTGAGTGCCTTCCAACCTCAGTGACTCATCTTTCGGCACTATATCTGACAATGTTCAGCTGCTATTCATAAGGTTTTCAGTAGCTAAACATTCAGAAGTAGTTCCTCTCTCCTTCTTCCTAATCTATCTTAGTCTGGAAGCTCCATTGAAACTTGTTCACCACAAGTGACCCTGCTGGTCTTTACAGTATCTGTAGCATAGCTTCCAGTGTCACAGCAATAGGAAAGCCATCGAAATATGACAAACTGATGAGTGGTGGACTGATGGTCCCTCCACATGGACCACCATGGTTACCCACCCATTGATGGATACCATGTGGATAAAGGGAGGAACTCACAACAGCAGCCAGTGGGCAGAGCTCAGAGCTGTGTGGATGGCCATTACTCATGAGCCCTGGTTAGTGGACTTACACTGCTGTGGAAGGCCTGGCATTATGGCAAGGACAACGGCCAAAGAGTGTACTATTCTAGGGAAGCTTTTGTGGGGACAAGATAGGTGACAATATCTAGAATGGATTTTAAGAGCTAGGTATCTGACTTGCAAGGGTCTCTGGTAGCATAGTGGTTACGAATTGGGCTGTGAAACGCAAGGTCAGCAGTTCAAAACTACCAGCTGTTCTACTGGAGAAAGATGAGGTTTTCTGCTCCCATAAAGATTTACAGCCTCGGAAACCCTCTACAGGGTCACTATGAGTCGTAACTAACTCCATGGCACATAACCACCACAATCTGACTTACTAACAGGCTTTCCCCCTGACAGTCAAGTAGTGGACACTTGGGCTAAGGTAAGAAATATCAGGGCTATGACTTCCACTGTCTGGGTAGATTGAGTACAGGGGAAGAGTGGACGTAGGGGGCTCAAATTGAATGGAGAATAGCTAAGAATCTGGGTCTGGGTTGTCTCTTAAACACAGTGATGTTCTAAATGCCATTGCAGCATGTCCTGTCTGTTCACTGCAGAGACCTTGCCACTTACCAGTGGAGTTAGGCCATGCCCGTTGCAGCCCATTGCCTGTGCAGGACTGACAAGTTGATTCTTTAGGCATCATGTACTCAGTGAACGTTCTCAATAGACTCTAAGTATACTCTTGTATGTATTAATACTGCTGGCTACCCCATACAGGTGTTCTCAAGTTGGAGAGCCAACCAAACTTCCACCGTAACAGAATTAGAGAAGGTTAGTGTCATGTATGGGCACCTTAACTGAATTGATAAGAGCATAAGGGCACATTTTAAATGGTCTGAGGTACAGGAGTGGGCGAGAGATACAGGAAGACAATGCCATTTTCATGTATCCTTTAATCCACTGGCTGCAGTTTCATGGAGAGGTAGAACAGGATCCTCATGGCACTCTATGGTCAGAGACCCATGGACTGGTGGACTCAGATGTTTCCTTGGGCAGTAATAGTGATGAATGTGGCCCTTACTGGGACACTTACCCCATATGCCAGGTCAGGAACAATGCCACCAGTACCATGTCTTATCAAACAAGAATATACCTGACAGACAGCTCCCAGGTCTGGCACCCAATGGCACCATGAGATATTGACTAGACAAGGACAAGACAAGGTGAGATACCTCACCAAGATGGGTGAGCTACTTAGTTCCAAAGAGACCCTATCATCCTGCACAAGAGTGTCATGAAGCTTTGGTCAGGGCAGAAGCTGTGCCACAAAGTACAAAAGTGGGTATCCTGGTCTGGTATAGCATCCCTCCTATGAACCATATTTGTGTGAAAGCTATCTGAGACCTCTGTCCAACAAGTTTGGCTTACTTATTTAGGGCAGTTTGCTGAGGCAGCTCTGTGATCTACACTAAATATGAAGCCACCAGTACCATTCTTGTTTTTGAAGAAGACTTACTTATTCAGGTCCTTACCAAATAGATACCTTTACTTCCACCCCTTGGTTTTTATTTCTACTATACTCTCCGGTTCTGTTAGTGGGAGGCCATATTACAAAACTGTATTACCTTGTATACACTTAATAACATCATGAAAAATGGAGGAAAGATTGAAGTTGTCAAAGACTTCATTTTGCTTAGTTCCACAATCAACACTTATGGAAGCAGCAGTCAAGAAATCAAACGACAATTGCATTAGGCAAATCTGCTGCACAAGACCTCTTTACTGAGCTCAAGAGCAAAGATGTCAATTTGCCTGACCCAACCCATGGTCTTTTCAGTTGCCTCATATGCATATGGAAGACCATAGAAGAATTGATGCATTTGAGTTATAGTGTTGGAGAAGAATATTAAATGTACTATGGACTGCTAGAAGAACAAACAAATCTGTCTTGGAAGAAGTACAACCAGAATGTTCTTTAGAAGCGACAATGGTGAGACTCTCTCATACTTTGAACATATTATCATGTGGGACCAGTCCCTCTAGAAGAACATCATGTTTGGTAAAGTGGATGGTCAGCAAAAAAGAAGACGACCCCCAACAAGATGGACTGACACAGTGGCAGCCACAGTGGACTCAAACTTAACAACAATTGTGATGATGGCGCAGGAGGGGGCAGAGTTTTGTTCTGTTGTGTTGTAGGGTCGCTATGAGTCAGAAATGACTTGATGGCACGTAACAACAACAATAGACATACTTACTGAAGCCCGGGGTGGGGGGGACCTCGTGCCCTCATAAAGACTGAAGAAACGAACCTAGCTCACATGAAAAACCAAATAATATGGACAATCACTCCTCATCTTTGGAGCAGTCACTGGGAGAATGGTTCAAAGGGTGGGGCCTTTGTGGAAGGAGCTGTTGCTAGTGGCATGCCTCTTCTTAGCTGCTTCTCTCTCTGTCTGTGTCTAGACGGCCACTGGGATTTGTGTCTCCAGTATAGCCAGGCTGTGGCCTAGTGCATCTCCCTCATACTAATGAAGTTCCTTGTGTGAGGTTCAGGGAGACCCGTGCAAGAAGTGGACGAATGAGGAAAAATGATCACTAGGGGTGGTGTGTTGGAATGACAAATGAGGACATGACCAACCCAGGATCTGTTAGCTTCCCCCTGGCCTGAAGGCGACCACAGTCCCAGTAAACACCACAACTCCTCAAAATGAGTAAGAGAATAGCACATCCTTGATGCAATAAAGATATCATCCTGGAAGGAACCTGGATCTAAATGATGACATTTGAATATTTTGGACATGAAGGAAGTGGGCTTTTGTGATAAACACACATTGTTGTTGAGTTTTATTGTTTCTAACTCAGAGCAACCCTGTATAGGGTTTCCAAGGAGCAGCTGGTAGGTTTCAAATGCTAACCTTGTGGTCCAGTGCTTATCTTTTGGTGATGGTGTTAAGTGCTGTCAAGTTGGTTCCAACCCATGGCAACCCTGTATAGGGTTTCCAAGGAGCAGCTGGTGAGCTTGAACCACTGACCTTGCAGTTCAAACAGCTTTGCAGTCTGGCGCATTAACCCACAGCACCACACCAGAACTCAGCACATTAGCCACCACACATTAGCTCTTCTGGAACTTGGGGCAGTAGCAGGGAGATATCCCTGCCCAGGACTTGGCCTTGTATTAGAAGTTTTCCCGTAATAGATCATAGACCGATTACTCAGCTGACCATGTTCTACCTCTCTTTGGCTTGTCCCTACCTTTTGCATCCCATGACCACTTTTGAATTTCTCCCAGGAAACTCCTCTGCCCACCTCTGGAGGGTGGGGAAAGGAAAAAAGATGACTTCAACCAGGTTGTGGCCGTCTTAAAGAACCTCATTTCACAGAAATGACACGCCTCTCTCAGACCACACTCCAAATCCAGGGCCAGGGTCTTGCTATGCCCACTCCTCCTCCCCAAGGTCAAGTGGGTCAGCAGGTATTCTGTGTTCACCGAGACAGCGCATATGAAGCAGTTGCACCTGGACCACATGAGCGTTCCATCTGGGATGGGGGGGTGGGGTAAAGGGACAATTGCCCATGTGTACTAGAGGCATAAGGCCCACACCAGAAGTGGACAGGAGACTTTATTTCTGCAGTGAGCTGAGGCTGGTGGGAGAGTCCTAGTTGGTGGGGAGGCCAGCTCAGCGGCTCGGCCAGAGCAGGGTGAAGCCTGCCCGGCTGCAGTGGAAGTCAGGCGCCTGCTGCTCGGGCTTGGGCTCCACGGAGACTAGGCGCCGGGATCCACGCTGGCTCAGGGTTATGCAGTCAGAGACACGGACGTCCAGGGCACGGCCTTCCCTGAAGTGGGGACACAGGGAGAGAGGAGAGGTCAGGACAAGGCTCCTGCCCAGTCCCTCAGGATCCTCCCTCTCAGGCCAGGACTCACCTTTGGCAGTGTGCGGCCAGCACACCCACTAGTTCCCCGACACGGTTGTCTAGCTCCGGCTGGGTGCGGTGCAGACAGACTACCAGGTCATCCTGGCCTTGGGCATGCAGTACCACCAACTGGTCCCGTCCACTTGTCACACTCAGACCGGTCACCTGGGCATAGGTTCAGGTCAAGGGTGCTGGTAGCCCTGGTGCCCCTAGTGCCCTGCCTGGTTGTCCCGTCTCTGCACTACCTCTACCCAGACCCTGCCCACCTCCCTTAGGAAGCATTTTTGAGCCCTTATGGGGTTTCTCCACTGTCATCCAAACATCACCTTCCCTCTAGGGGGCGTCAGAGTCCTCCAAAAAAGGGTGGGGTAAGCACCCACTAGTGAAACCCTGTGCCCAGAACTCTGGAATGATGGAAGGTCCAATATGGCAACCACGGGTCACATGTGGCAGCTGAATACTTGAAGTGGAAGGAACCAAATTTTAAACTTTTAAAAAACTAAATAGCCACACGTGGTTGTGGCTACCATATTAGGCATCACAGGTTTAAAGACTAAAGTTCTAAAGGATTGTTGTTGTTGTTGTTATGTGCCATGGAGTAGGTTCTGACTCATAGCGACCCTGTAACAGGGTTTCCGAGGCTGTAAATCTTTATGGGAGCAGAAAGACTCATCTTTCTCCCGCGGAACAGCTGGTAGTTTCTAACTGCTGACCTTGCGGTTCGCAGCCCGATTCGTAACCACTACGCTACCAGAGCTCCTTAAAGTTCTAAAGGATAGGGATCCTCAAAACTGTGGGGACCTAAAGGTAAATCCCTGTCCTCACATCCTAATTTCTGCCCTCAGATGGTTCTTGTTTTATGGGAGAGAAGACATGGGCACAAGAAACTGGGATGGACGGGGCAGATGAGTCCACAAGAGGCAGAAGAAAGCTTACCCAGACCAGAAGCATCAGGAAAGATGCTTTCAAAGGGGCAGTGGGACCTGGATGTGTGAGTGTGGGCTGGCATGCAGGTGGAGGACATGCCCCAGACACAAAAGGCGGGGGTTGGAGTAGTTGTAGGGAAGAGAAGGAAAGAGACTGCGCAACAGGGCTGACTCCACAGACAGGAGTGCACTTTATTCCACAAGCAATGGGCCGCCACTGCAGGGTTTCCTGGAGCAAAGTGATAGGACCCCAGTTGATTTTTAGAGACTGACCACTCTCCTACATTGGCCCTCCCAGGGCTCAGGGGGCTGAATGTCCAGTGGGACCTCACAGCTGCTCCTGCCCAGGCTCCCCCTTCCTGCTTGTTGTGGCTCACCATCTTGAGAGGTACAGCCCGCATCACCCGGTACTGCCTATTCGGTTCCAGCTTGTATAAGTGCAGGTCTGTGAGCAGGAGTGCCCGGTCCCGTCTCTTGTGGAAGCGGTTTACCTGCAGGAGAGAGGTTGTGGTGCAGCTGCCACTGCCAGGCCTGGCCAGGATCCAGGGGCCTGTAAAAGGTACAGCTAGAGGGCCCCAGCCATAAGTAAGGATTCCGGTCTTGGCCTTGTGCACCCCTCCATGGATGGCTTCCTTCTGGACTGCTGGAGCTGCAGTTTCTAGGGTTTCCGGAGCAGCTTGGGAGCTCCTGAGTTAGATTCTGAGCTGAGGAGTCCTCCTGGGCCTCCCCCATGTTCACCATTCTCCCCACACCAGCTCCTAACCTTTCGGATATGGCTAGAGAAGAGTACAGTCCCAAAGCCATCCTTCTCACGGAGGGTCTGCAACCGCTGAGTGAAGAGGCCCGAGGCTGTAGGATTGTCTGCGGCCTGAGGACATAGGGGTGCGAGAAGGGTGAGGTCTAAGGGCCCAACTCAGGATCAAGATAGGAAGAGTCTGTCTCAGCCAACCACGATCAAGAATGGCTCATGATTCACGGATATCTGCTTTTCAGTTCATAAGCTAAGGGTCACTGTGAACTCACTCAGCACAGGGGAGGCAGGGATCAATCAAGAAAGTCAGGTGGGAGGTGAGGCAAAATGGCAGACTAGGCAGAAAGATTGTATGGAGCCTCTACAACAATGAGACTGAAATCTGTAGATGACAGTTCCAGAACTCTTAGAGCATCAGATGAAGGGATAGAGAAGTGGACTGAAGGCTTCCTAGGAGAGAGAGCTGAGCAGACGTGGCAACAAAGAAGTAACTGCTCAGCTGTGGTGGCTGACCAGACCTGCCACAGCCATCTTGAGCATTTGTGAGCTGCTTCAGAGACAAGAAAACATTGGCATTGCAGAAACCTGCCTGTGGCTCACAGACAGGTGTGATTATTTTCTTATTCTCCACACCTCCCTAGAGGCTGGCCTCTACTAGCATACATCCCAGGGAAGCCTCCACTCTCTGGAGGGTCAGAGCCATGTGGAGGAGAGCACTGAGGTTATAAACCCCACTGAAGGAGGGAAGAGCTATCCTCAATAACCCCACTCGGTCAGACCCTGCTCCAAATCTGCAGTTGACCCAGGTCAGCTCTGAACTAGCTCTCACTAGAAGTGGCTGAACAGACACGTGCAGTAGAGAAAAAAAGAAGGGAAGAAAGATGGGTGATCTGTGGGCCAGACAGGCACAGTGTGGCCATCTTGAACTTTCTTGAGTAGCTGGGAAGGCAAGAGGCCAGTAGGTATGCTAAGGCATACCACTTAATGGTGGAGAGAAAGGTGCTGACAGTTCTATTTTTTGCTTCCTTACTATTCTCTTTTTTCACTGTTGTTTGCTGGTTTGTCTGTCTCTCTTGTGTGTGAGCTTTATCTTCTTGCATCACCTGACAGGAGACAATACCTGTGGACCTACAGCTCAGCCAGAGCTGTTCCCTCTCCAACCCCACCAATTGGACAAGAGCCAATCGCAGCTGCTATACACAGGATCAATGATATCAGAAATGGACAATACACTGAAAGGGCAAAGGAGTAGATTTGAAACAATGGAAACCAGAATTCGTGAACTTGAAGATAAATCTTTCAATAATGGTAGGCTAGAAGAACAATCAGAAAAAATCTGAAGAAAGCCTGAGATTCATGTAGAACAACCTGAAGAGGAACACTTTATGGGTGATAGGAATTGCAGAACAGGAAGAGACAAAGAAAAGATAGTCAAAGATCAGCTGGAAGAAAATTTCCTTAACATCATGAGAGGTGAGGATGTAAGAATTCAAGAAGCAGAATGAACTCCAAACAGGATAGACTCCAAAAGAAAATCACCAAGTCGCATCATAATCAAACTCTCCAAAATTAAACACAAAGGAAAAAATACTGAGAGCATCTTGGGAAAAATGAGAAGTTGCCTACAATAGAGAATCAATAAGATTAAACAATGCATTCTCAGGAGAAACCCTGCAGGCAGGAGGCGATGGGGAGATATATATACAAAATTCTGAAAGAAAAAAAAAATTGTCAACCAAGACTCATATATCCAGTAAAACTGTCCCTCCAATATGACGGCAAAATTAGAACATTTCCAGATAAACAGAAATCAAAGGAACTTGTTAAAATCAGGCCAACTTAAAAAACAAAACAAAACTAGAGAGAGTCCTTTGGACTGAGAGCCAGCAAGAGCAGATTATAACCAGAGACTGACATACACGGCAACATGACTCAGAATTCAATCCAGATATAGAAATATTCAAAGTAAAACAAACCTAAAGACTGAAGATAGGAAATTAGAGATATCAATTTATAATGAAGACAATTACAAAGCAAAAAGAGGGAAAAATATAGTTACAGAATTTCAAATGGCAAGGAAGTTAAGTAGATTACAAGATAAAACAGACTTTTAAAATAAGAAATAAATAAATTACAGGATAACCTCAAAGAAACTTAATACACCTTCATAGCAAATCAAGAAAAGAAAAATCAATGAAGATTTTGTAAACATTAAAACAATGAAGAAATTGGTAAGAAAATGCACAAACAAATGAACACAGCACAAGAAACCAGATGGAACAAAGAGACCAGCAGCACCACAAAAAAACACACACATCAAAACGACTGCAGTCAATTCATTGTTGTTGTTAAGTGCTGTCCAGTCAGTTCCAAATCATAATGACCCTGTATAGGGTTTTCAAGGAGTGGCTGGTAGGTTTGAACTGCTAACTTTGAGGTTCAAACTGACCCTTTAGACCAGCGCTTGTCCTAATAGAGCCACACCAGGATTACTATATAATTACATGGAACATCAGTGGATTAGATGCACCAGTCAAGAGACAGAGAGTAGCAAAGTGGAGAAGAAAATTGTATCCTTCAATATGCTGGCTAAAAGAGACACACCTTACACATAAATATAGATTAAAAATTAAAGACTGGAAAAAAATGTATCAAGCTAATGGCAATCAAAAATGAGCAGGACTGGCAATATTAATTTCAGATAAAATTGACTTTAAGGCAAAAACCAGCATAAGAGAAAAAAGGACATTATCTCATGTTGAAAAGGTCAATTGAAAAAGAAGACATAACCAAAATAAATATCTATGTTCCCAGTGAAAGAGCCTTGAAATACATAAATCAAACTCTAATAGAATTAAAGAAAGAAATAGACAACTCTACAATAATAGCATGAGATTTTAATACACCACTCTTGAAAAAGGATAGAACTAGAAAGAAACTCAACAAAGACACAGAAGAACAAAACAACACGATCAATCAACTTGACTTCACAGATTTATACAGAGCATTCAACCCAATAACAGCACAATACACATTCTTTTCCAGTGCACATGGAGCATTCTGCAGAATAGACCATATGTTAGGCCACAAAGCAAACCTCAATAAATTTTAAAACATCAAAATACTACAAACCATCTGTTCAGATCACAATACTATAAAATTAGAAATCAACAATAGGAAGATCAACGAAATAAAATCAAGTGCATGGAAAATGAATTACAATCTGCTTAAAAGCTACTGGGTAATAGAACAAATAAACAAAACAAAACAAAACGAATCTTGAAGCAAATGAGAATGAAAACACAACATACGAAAACTTTTGGGTCAAAGCAAACACAGCGCTTAAAAGGACAGTTTAGAGTAATAAGCACACACATCCAAAAAGAAGAATGAACCAAAATCAGCACGTTAACACAACATCTCCAACAATTAGAGAGAGACCTGCAAAGTAGGCTTACAGTCCAGAAGACTATTAGATAGAAATAAATGAATTAGAAAACTGAAAAACAATGGAAAGAATCAAGAAGACAAGAAGTTGCTTCTGAGAAAGGATTAATAAAATTGACGAACTACTGGCAAATCAAACAAAAGAAAAGAGGGAGAGGGTACAAATAGCATGCTGAAATGATATGGGTGATGTCACAACAGTGCCAGTGGAAATAAATTAATAATAGAATGAGTACAAAGTAGGAATAGAAGGGAAATTCTAATTAAGAGCATATATACCAGTCCTGGTGTGTGGCACTGTGGAATAATGCGCCACACTGCAAATTCGGTTTGACCTGCAAGGTCGGCAGTTCAAGCTCACCAGCTGCTCCGTGGAACCCCTATACAGGGTCTTTATAGGTCGAACCAACTTGATGGCACTTAACAGCAACAACATACAAATCCAACACCCTACATCACTCTCAGGAGTCCTGGTGTAGCACTGTGGGTTAAAACGCCAGACTGCAAAACTGTTTTAACTGCAAGGTCGGTGGTTCAAGCTCACCAGCTGCTCCTCAGAAACCCTATACAGGGTCGCTATGGGTCAGAATCGACTCGACAGCACTTAACAACAACAACAACATCACTCTTAATGGAAAGAAACTGAAAGCATTCCCTTTGCAAATAGGAACCAGACAAGGAGGCCCTTTATCACCACTCCTATTCAATACTGTGTTGGAAGTCGGCCAGAGCTATAAGGCAAGAAAGGGAAATAAAAGGCATTCAAATTGGCAAAGAAGAAGTAAAACTCTCTCTATTTGCAGATGGTATAATCTTATACATAGAATATCCCAAAGACTCAGCAAGAAAATTTTTGGAACTCATTGAGACTCAGCAAAGTGGCAGAGTACAAGATTAATAGATAAAAATCAGTTGGATTCCTCTATACTAATGAAGTTCTGAAAAGAAAATCAGGAAAACAATACCATTTGCAATGACCACCCAAAATATGAAATTGTTGTTGTTGTTAGGTGCCATCGAGTCAGTGCCGACTCATAGCGACTTTATGCACAGCAGAATGAAACACTGCCCGATCCTGGACCAACCTCACTACTATTGCCACGCTTGAGCCCACTGATGCTGCCACTTTGCCAATCCATCTCGCTGGGGGTCTTCCTCTTTTTCGCTGACCCTTCACCCTACCAAACTTGATATCCTTCTCCAGTGACTGGTCCCTCCTGACAATATGCCCGAAGTATGAGAGAAGAAGTTTGGCCATCCTAGCCTCCAAGGAACACTCTGGCTGCACTTCTTCCAACACAGATAGATCTGTTGGTTCTTTAGGTAGCCCATGGCACTTTCAATATTCTCTTCCATCATCTTGATCCAAAAGCATCAATTCTTCCACGGTCTACCGTATTTACTGCCCAGCTTTCGCATGCATATGAGGTTATTGAAAATACCATGGCTTGAGTCAGGCGCACCTTAGACGTCAAGATGATATCTTTGCTCTTCAACACTTTAAAAAGGTTTTGTGCAGCAGATTTGCATAATGCAATACATCATTTGATTTCTTGACTGCTGCTTCCATGAGTATTGATAGTTGATCCAAGAAGAATGAAGTCCTTGACATCTGCAATCTTTTCTCTGTAGATAATAAAGTTGTTTATTGGCACAGTGGTGAGGATTTTTGTTTTCTTTACATTGAGATGCAATCCATATCGAAGGCTGTGGTCTTTGATCTTCATAAGTAAATACTTTAAGTCCTCTTCACTTTCAACAAGCAAGGTTGTATTACCTGCATATTGCAGGTTGTTAATGAGTCTTCCTCCAAACTTGATGCCACATTTTTCTTCAGATAACCCAGCTTCTAGAATTATTTGCTCAGCATATAGGTTGAATAAGTATGGTGAAAGAATACAACCTTGTCGCACACCTTTCTTGATTTTAAAACATTCAGTGTTCCCATGTTTTGTTTAAACAACTGCCTCTTGGTCCAGGTACAGATTCCTCATGAGCACAATTAAGTGTTCAGGAATACTCATATTTTGCAATGTTGTCTATAGCTTGTCATGATCCACACAATTAAAAGCCTTTGTGTAGTCAATAAAGCACAGGTAAACATCTTTCTGATATTCTCTGCATTCAGCCAAGATCCATGGGACATCAGCAATGATATCCCTCGTTCCACGGCCTCTTCTGAATCCAGCTTGACTCTCTGGAAGTTCTCTGTTAATGTATGGTTGCAGCCATTTCTGTGTTGCCTGTAGTAAAACTTTACTCGCATGGGATATCAAAGAGATTGTCCAATGATTTCCACATTCCATTGGGCCACCTCTCTTTTAAATGGGCACAAATATAGCTATATTCCAATCAGTTGGCCAGATAGTTGTCTTCCAAATTACTTGGCAGAGATGAGTGAATGCTTCTTGTGCTGCATTACTTTCTTGAAAGATTTCAATTTTTATTCCATCAATTCCTGGTGCCTTGTTCTTTGCCAGTTCCTTCAATGCACCTTAGATTTCTTCCTTTAGTATCATTGGCTCTTGATCATATGTTACCGCTTGAAACAGTTGCACATCAGCCATTTCCTTTTGGTATAGTGACTCTGTGTATTCCTTCCATCTTATTTTGATTCTTTCTGCACCATTCAATAATTTTCCCAGAGAATCTTTCAATAACGAAAGTCAAGGCTTGAATTTTTTCTTCAGTTCCCCCAGCTTGAGAAATGCTGAGTGTGTTCTTCCTTTTTGGTTTTCTGACTCCAGATCTTTGCACATTTTGTTGTAATATTTGGCTTTATCTTCTTGAGCTGATCTTTGAAATTTTCTGTTCAGCTCTTGTTCCCCTCATTTCTTCCATTTGCTTTAGCATCTCTATGCTGGAGAGCAAGTTTCAGTGTTTCTTCTGACATTCATTTTGACCATTTCCTTCTTTTCTTGTCTTCTTGATAACTTTTTGCTTTCATCATGTATGATGTTCTTGATGTCATCCCACAACTTTTCTGGTCTTTGGGCTTTAGTGTTTAATGTATCAAATCTGTTCTTCAAATGATCTCTAAATTCAGGTGAGATATATTCAAGGTCATATATTGGCTTTCATGAACTTGTTTTCATTTTCTTAAGCTTCAGTTTGAATTTATGTATGAGCAATTGATAGTCTGTTCCACAGTCTGCCTCTGGCCTTGTTTTGACTGATGATATGGAGCTTTTCCATCATCTCTTTCCGCAGATGCAGTCAATGTGATTTCTACGTATTCCATCTGGTGAGGTCCATGTGTATAGTCATCTCTTATGCTATTTAAAGAAGGTATTTGAAATAAACAAATCATTGATTTTGCAGAATTCTATTATGTGATCTCCAGCATAATTTCTATCCCCAAGGCCATATTTTCCAACTATTGATCCTTCCTCTTTGCTCCCAACCTTTGCATTCCAATCACCAGTAATATGAAATACTTAGGAATAAATCTAACCAGAGAAACAAAAGACCTATACAAAGAAAACTACAAACACTACTACAAGAAACCAAAAGACATATACAAAAAAGTAAGACTATACCATGCTCATGAATAGGAAGACTTAACATTGTAAAAATACCAAAAATACCCAAAGCTATACACACTTTGATTGCAATCTGTCTAGATCCCAACATTGTTATTGAAAATAATTGTAAAAATGATCATGAACTTCATATGGAGAGGAAAGAGACCTTAGATAATCAAAGCACTGCTTAAGAAGAACAAAGCTGAAAGCTTCACACTCCCTGATTTCAAATTTTACTACACAGCCACAGTGGTCAAGATAGCCTGGTACCGGCACAACAAAAGATACACTGATCAATGGAACAGAATTGAGAACCCAGAAGTAAATCTATCCACATACTGTCAACTGATCTTTGACAAAGGGCCAAAACATACTAAATGGGGAAGAGATAGTCTCTTCAGTAACTGGTGCTGGCAAAACTGGAAATCAATTTGCAGAAGAATGAAACAAGACCCATATCTCATACCGCATACAAAAACAAACTCAACATGGATTAAAGACCTAAATATAAAACCTAGAGCTATAAAGATCATCAATGAAAAACTAGGGACAAATTTAGGGGCTCTAATACATGGCATGCACACACTATCAAACAATGCAAAAAACCACACAAACAGTAGAAGACAAAATAAATGACTGGGACCTCCAAAAATTTAGAAACTTATGTACATGAGATTTTACCAAGCGAGTGAAAAGGAAGCCCACAGAATAGGAAAATTTTTGCAATGACATATCAAACAAGGGACTAATATCTAAAATTTATTTTAAAATTATACCTCTATGAGACAAAGAAAAACAACTCAATTTGAAAATGGGCACAGGACATGAATAGACACCTCACCAAGGAAGATATTCAGGCAGCCAACAAATGTAGGAAAATGCTCATGACAATTAGCCATTGTTATTGTTAAGTGCTGTCAAGTAGAGTCAATTTCAACTCAGAGTGACCCATCTGAACAAGGAGTTGCTGGTGAGTTTGAACCACTGACCTTGTGGTTCAAACTGACATTGTAGTCCAGCACATTAACACACAGTGCCATACCTCACACACACAGCGCAAATCAAATCAACAATGAGATATCATCTCACAGCAGTGGGAAACTACCAGCTGTTCCATGGGAGAAAGATGAGGCTTTCTGCTCCCATAAAGACTTACAGCCTCAGAAACCCTGTACAGGGTCACTATGAGTCGGAACCGACTCCACGGCACATAATCACCACCACCAACCACCACCACCACCAGCATTAATATCAAAAGTTCAAGAAAACAGAAAATAGCAAGTGCTGGCAAGGCTTTGGAGAGACTTGGACCTTCCTACATTGTTGGTGGGACTGTAAAATGGTTCAATCGCTCTGGAAAATGGTATGGTGCTTACTCAGAAAGTTGGGGAGGACAATGCACAAGAAGAAGGAGGGGAGCAGATGAACAATGAAGACAGAGTAAGGTTTAGGGAGGTATGCATGGGTTAAATGGAATAGAGGTAATAGTGATTTATACACAACCTTGGAAAAACAGTGTTCTGTGAGTAGATGCATGGATTGAGACATAGACTGAATGGATAGGGAGGAAGAGTGTGATATATATCCCATAAATATATGGGAGTTTGAAAGAGGATATTTGTACATGAGTACCTTCCCTGCAAACACAACTATGAATGCGGTGGCACATACAGTAGGCAGAATGAAGAAACCTTCCTAGATATTACCAAACATCTTAAGGCAATGAGTTGTTGGGCCTGGGGGCTCAGGACTAGAGTCTTAGGGGACACCATGGTCAATCAGCATAACACAGTTCACAAGGACAATGTTCTACATCTTGCTTGGGTGAGTAGCATCTGGGATCTTGAAAGTTCATGAGGGGCCATCTAAGGTGCAGCCATTGGTCTCTCCAGAAGAATGGTGAGAATTAAAGAGGCTTGGAATCAATTAGTCCAATAGACTAACGGAACTTGTGAACATCAGTCTCCGTGACTCTGAGACCAGAAGAATGAGATGGTGTCTGCCTACCACTACCAACTGCTCTGAAAAGGATCTCATTACATGGTCCTGGATAGAGTGGGAGAAAATATGAAACAAAACTCAAATATATTTAATAATAAACAAACAAAAATGGCTTTACCTGTCAGAAAGAGACTGGAGGAACCTGAGACTATGGCCCTTGGTCACCCTTCAGGTCTGGAAAGGAACTCACCCTCGTGGCCCAATTTTCAGCCAAGAAGTAGATAGGTAAATGTTGTTGTTGTTATAGCAACCTTATTCACAGCAGAATGAAACACTTTCTGATCCTGGGCCAACCTCACTACTGTTGCCACGCTTGAGTCCATTGACCTTGCCACTTGGCCAATCCATCTCGTTGAGATTGTTGAGAAAAAGAATAACAATGTCTCAATTACCTAGTGTTGCTATAACAGAAATCCAACAGGTGGTTGGTTTTAAAGAACAATTTTTTTTTTAAGACAAAATTGATAAGGGATGTGAAGGTGGGTGGTATGCAAATAGGTCTTATAGGGAGGAAGTGGGACAACTGCTGTGCTTGATTTGTTGAATGTAAACCTGATGATCTTGTTTGTAAACCTTCACTCAATTTACAATTGTTGTTTTTAAGTGCTGTCGAGTCGGTTCTGACCCATAGCGACCCTGCATAGGGTTTCCAAGGAGCGACTGGTGAGCTTGAACCACCGAGCTTGTAGTTCAAATGGCTTTGCAGTCTGGCGCATTAACTCACAGCGCCACATCAGGACTCCGTAATTTACAATACAGAGTTTTTAAAAAAAGAAAGAAAGTCAGATGGCTCAGGGAGAAGACTGAAGAGGTACAGGGAGCCTTTCCCTCAGCAGCCTGACCCCTACCGTCCTGGCCCCACCTTATACTCACAGAGGATAGGTAGTCTCGAACCCAGGCCCGACAACAGCCCCAGTCCTGGCGCAGCCCCTGCAGTAACCCCATGGCAGCCACCTTGGCCTTGATCTGAGCCATGTCTGAAGGGGGGATATTCTTGACCAGCTGCCAGGCCCGCCACCTGGGAGAAGGAGGGGCGTAAGAAGGATGTCTGAGGCAGAGGACCCTGAGCTCTTCCCTCCCCATCCCACCTGCTCCCCTTAGTCTTGTTCCCAGAGCACACCCCATTCCTGTGCTCAGTGCCTCCCACAGGGGAGCCAGGTGCAGCCTCTCATGTCTCAGCCCCATGGGTCCTGGGACACCCCCACCCCAGCACTGTTCTTTCTGTGCGCCTCCCCCAGGAGAACTGCCAGCTCTCATGGCTCTTAACTGTGGTGTCCCTACTGACCACCCTTCCTCCCTCTGCAATTTCTGTTGTTGCTGTTAACTGCAGCAGAGTCAGTTCGGACTCATAAAAACCCGGTATAGGGTTTCCGAGGAGCAGCTGGTGAGTTTGAGCCACTGATCTTGTGGTTCAAACTGACCTTTCAGTCCAGTGCTTTAGCCTATAGCGCCACACCAGGAGTCCTCTGAAAGTTGGCAGCCCTTAACTTCCTGTGAGGGAAGGCAGCCTGGGCCCACCTCCAAATCCCCATGAAGATTCTGAAGGCAGTGAGACCCTAGACAGCAGTAGTCTTACTTTAAAGGTGAACTAGCTGGATCTACTTAGCAGGTCACTGGAGGGTGTGATGATGGGGTAAAGGTACTCAGGAATGGGGGAGGAACTCCAGTGTGTGTGGGGGCGTGGGGTGGGGTGGGGGAGGAGCTCCAATGTGTGT